AAGCAAAATAATCATATTAACTTGATAACAGCAAGCAATCATTTATAAATTTAAATGATGAATTAGGAAATATATATCTCAGCAAGGAAACATAAAAGATGATATTGCTCCATGACAGCGCTCGACATTGCAAAAACTATAAAGAGTGTCAGTTTTAATCCGAGCTAGAAAGTTTTATCATATTCGGCATATTCACTAGAGAACTTGGCGCATACAAATTTCCATCTGTTCCGGCCTTTGCATTATTCAATGAAATATACTTCAAAAGTAGACGATGAAGTCACAAAGTGCAGCGATGATTTTGTTGATTTGAAATCTCTAAATTTTTTTTGCTATATAATCAGGCACTTAGCAGAAAAATGGCAAAAAATTAATAATAGCAAAGGAGATTATTTTGAGAATTATTCTTTGAGAAAAATTTTAATGTATTTGTTCTTATAAACAAAATCTGGATTTTGTAAAATAAGTAAACCAAAATAATTTATATATGTCTAATAAGTAGAATCAATTTTTTTCATTCAAAATACTGTGAAATTATCGAGTAAATATCAATAGTAAGAACAGATGGATTAAAGCTGTTGAATAACGAGTAACTATAAGCGACAACTTTTACGCAGCTTGTAACAGTAAATCAATTCATGTATTAATATTTAAACTCTCTCGAACTGTCAGAAGCAGCTTCTTTACTCGTAAAAAGCAGTAGAAACACGTCGTCGACTCGAATATCGATTTGTCAGTTTTTTTACAATTATGACAAGATGTTACTTTGACATTTTTTTAAATATAGGCTTTTTAAGGAATATCGATCGAAAAATCAAAACTTTTCAATCTATTTAAAAATTAAATAGAATATTAAAATAAAATTAATATCACATTAAAATTTCAAACATCAATTGATTGTGTAATTTTTAAGAAAAAGAAAACTAAAATTAGAGTTTTATGCATTGGATCTTATAATCGATGCATTGAACGATTGATATATTATATTACATTAATTTTTAAAATATCGTGATTTACATAAAAATTATATAAATAATTAGAGCTAATTTTTTTTACATGTAAACAATTAATTTCATCTATGCATTTCTTCTATGCAATTTTTTTTATATAAAAATAAAAAGCTGATAAAATACATTTATTTGATGCGTTAACAATTAATTTTCAATATTTCACAATGTGCAACTTGATCAAAAATGTCAACCTCATTTTTAGAGTGCAACATTATCAAATGATTGATAATCATTGAATATGAAATATTAAATTATTCGTATTTTCTAATAATAGAATATTAATATTATGATCCAAAATTAAAAATTAGTACTCTCAATGTTATTTTTTTATTCAAAATAAATCGTAAAATAACCTTTCTTATTATTAAAAGATTTTCATATACTAGTTGATAGTATTGTTAATGCATAAAGATAGACGTATCCTTCTTGCCATCTATTTCTGCAAACAATCGAATGTAAATTCTCCTTAAAAATGCTTTTAACACGATGCCCTTTAAAGATATTGTTCGCCAAATAGAACTGACGATATATGTCGATATTTGCACAATAGTCATATCGCATTTCTTTTTCAGAAATTTAATATTTTTTATCGGATTAAATTGTATTTTCCAAAATGCTACGAAAAATTCGCATTACATCTACTTCGATGATTGACTAAAACTAACCAAAGAGATAAAAAGATAAATAATAAAAGAAATAACATGACTATAATCAATATCAGTTTTACTTAAACTTTTAAATAAAAGATATTTCCATTTATTCCAACTATATTTCCATTTATTATTCATTTTTATATAAGTTATCATTGTGTTCTTAATTGTATAATAATATCAACGTCATATCTCATAATTTTTAAGGAAAAGATTATTTGAAAATGGACAAAATATCAAATTTTGTTTATTCTTTCTAGTAAAAATAAATTTTTTGCATATATCTAAGCTAAAATAATTTTTTAATATATTTAATATTTATTATAAATGTCTTATAAATCTAACTGAATATCGTATAAATATCTAAATATCTAAAAATTGTGAATATAATCCTCTCATAATATAAATAATTGGAAATGGATAATCAAAAAATAACAAAAAATTTTATTTCTATTTTTATTTATTACAAGCACTAATAGCACTTTCTGTTTACAGCCTTGAAACAAACAAAGAAAAAGAAAATTGCAAAGAATATGAAAGTGTGATAAATATAATAGTATCCAACCGGTTTTGAATCATTTTTCTCTAGAATCATATTCTTATTTTTTATGTATTTTTTTTTCAATGTGCTAAAGAGAGCAACATTTATAATTATTTAATTTTTAAAAAAATGAATCATAATTTGATGATTTTCTACGAAAATATTGTAATCTTATCAAAAATTACAATCAATTAAAGATGTAAAAAATTGCATTTAATTAATATTTAGAAAGAAATTAACAAAGGCATCAGTCAAAATATGATCACTTTTATAAGAAGAAGAATAAAATAATATTTTGAATATGTTGATTCAATGATAAAAAAAAAATGTAAAGATAAATAGTTCTATCTATGATTTTGCAAGTGCTTTCTTATCTTTAACAAAAATAAAAGTTAATGACAAAAAGTATTTTTTTAAATTTACAATAAATAAATGAAGGATAATACATATAGAAGTAGATAAAAAGAAAATATATTTTCTATTATTATTGTAATGAGAGGAGAGCGAGAGCGATTATATTGTGAAATGAGTATAAATATAGCTTAATAATTTATAATTTCTACGTATGCTTTAAATTAATCTACGTAAATGGGCGATGACTTATTTATTTGTCCTAGAACTTTTTTCTACTCTCATGATAAATATAGGTAGAAAAGAAGGATATAAACCGGGATTGGGGATTACGAATGGCGCTGTTTCGTTTCCAGAAATTTTCCAAAGGCACTTTGATAAATAGCATCCAGCATCGTACAAAGAAACACTCCCTAATCTACGTTCACCAAGAGTGATTTATATAACCAACAAATCTTTCGCATTAATCTACTGTAAATTTGTCGATTAATCAGATAATAAAGAGCTACTGTAACTTGTAACTTTTTTCTTTAATATCTACTAATACATCATATGGCGTTATAAAAATATTCTATTATTCAATTCCATATATATAATGTTCATAATAGGTTATGCATGTGTTTTATGCATTATGTGGGATATATAATAATCTAATATTTATAAAAATTTACTTGTTTAGAGAAAGAGCGCCAAGTACACGTCTAATGTTATATAAAAAATTTTTTAATACAAAAGATTTCATGTAAGTAAAAAACTGGCGTCAAGTTGCAGTCATTAATTAAGAAATTAATTTAAAAATTTTAATTACTAGTTGACAAACTTAATTTACTCTATAAAAGATCATCATAATTATTTGAAAATTATTTCTTATTGCACATCGAACAACACATTTTTTTATGGTCAGTCAATCAATAATTCGTTGCGACAATAGCATAGGATTAGAGCAAAACGTAGAAAAAAAAAATAAAGACGAAAAATATAGCAAATATTACGTGCAATTCGATAACGTTGTGATAATCAGGAGCGGGATCGAGTCTATACGGCAACTATATAATATTCTTACGAACTAGACCTATTACCGAGAGACATCGACTACACTATCGATCTACAACATTACACGCACCATATGTGTACTGTAAGCAAACATCGAGAGTATGCGCGCATTTTAATGCGCGTATTTGACATGAATAAAGAGTATAAAATATGAGATTTCTACAACAGAGAGCCAGGAAATTTGGAAGATCGTGCATAATACGACACAAGTGAGCATTTTTCATCCGATAAAAAAATTTGTTTATAAAAGAACTTACTTTCCAATTGTCTTATATTTTTTATAAATAGATATTACGTTCTGGAAAAGATGTGTGTGTTTGATTACTTGTAATGTTATGTAATCAGTAGAAATTTCCAATAAAAAAGTATAAGAAAAGTTATAAAAGTTTATTGTTACTAATATTCACTACGGTTCGTTACTTTGGCAACAATACCCGCAAACAATACTGTATTTCGTTATGAATAGATCGGAGTACATCGACCACAAAACTTGAGCACATGTAAACTCAGATAAATGGCAAACCAGGCAATTTAAGCCGGGAGAAGGCTTTCTTTGTTCTCTTGGGTTTCATTGTAATTCGAATGGAGCTAATTATGATGTTTCATTGTTCATATATGCACGCATTTCTATGATAAAGTTAATTTCTTGATTTTTTTTGAAAAAAAGAAGAATATATATATATATATATATATATATATATATATTAATTTCGATCAAATACTACGATATATAATTATTTAACTGTTTTATAGTTATAATATAAAGTCATATATACAATATTATTTTTTATTTTTCAGAATTTAATTAAAATTTTAATGAAAAAGAAAATTCAAATTTTCTCTCACTCAACAAAAAGTTATTATTAACAAAAATTAGAGCTATTTATGATCAAAGTGATTAGATATGTGTTCTCTTAGAGAAATCTTACAACTTTTAGCTTACATTTTCTTTCAGTATTTTTTTGAACTTTTTCACGTTTTAAATATCTTATCCCTAGTACGTTTTAATGTTACTCTATCTAAAAAATTTTTTTTTTTTGTACAGGACAAGAATCGACGAAGCCCTACTGATGACGAATCCCTAGCTGGATTATTATATGATCTTGGTGACCTGGGCATGGTTTTAGTTGTGACGGCGGGGCGATGACGCTCAATCACCGTCCGCCGTCATCAGTAGGAGTCCCTCAGGACTCACCAAACTTCCCGTTTCCGGACCTGGTCTCAATTTTGACCCGAATCTCCGACGATTGCTGCTATCCAACGAAAAGCATCGTGAAAGCACGTGTTACATTTGGAGGGAGATATGAGAGACCACTCTCATCATTACCGAGATCACGGACACGCCATGCCACTCGAGGAGGTTCAAGGACTGTTACTTCCTCCCTCAAGAACAGGTGGGTTGTCGCCGCTTTGTGGCGCGATTTTTTTCCGTCTCTAAATTCCATTTTTAATATAGAAAAACAAAACGACAATCTTTGTAGGGTATTTTGAATAATCTTTATGGAGAAGAAAATCATATTAAAATTTAGAATGTGCCGGATAAGGAATTTGTTGGATAATTCGATACCGGACATCCAACATTTATTACTATCACGTAACTAGATAACTGAATGGTAATAAATTTGTAATAAACTTGTTTATACGATAATTACACGAAAAGACTGAAAAAAATGAATTTAATTTTAATTTGTTACAATAAAAGAATGGAAATTATAAAGAAAATTATAATAATTTTTAAATGTATTTTTTAACTTTAATCACAACAGTCATCACACTTATTATACTAAACAGATTAGCAAGCAGATTATAATGCAGAAATATCATATTCATATTTTTTATGAAAAATTTCAAAAATATGTAGCAAAATATAATATACAATAATTATTAGTTAGTTTACTTAAGCTTACATAACGATCTTAAATATAAGAATGGACTATGAATATCGGCCTTCGTTTCTTTTTAGTATAATTTATATATGCTCTCGCACATTGTTATATATATAGTACAGATTAAACAAAGATATAGATATCATTTCATTCTTTCTCGGATTAATGTTTAATATAGGCGTTATATGGTAGTGCGCGTTCCACGTGTATTACTGTATTTCAATGGTCTATTTTAAATGGTACGTGCTATTAATTTATTATTCATTATATTTGAAATTCAAATTTTAAATATAATATTATGATTAAATTGTGAAATAGTAGCTCGATTGAATATCGCTTAGTTGCCAAATATTCGGCACATCTCTAATTAAAATATCAAATTGTATGTAAATCATCTTTATTATATTAAATATTTTAGTTGTCTTTTAATTTAAAGAGATTGTTATTTATTCTTTTTCTAAAATCTGCATAAGTAATCTCCTGCAATGTGAGCACACGATGCGGGTAAGATTTTTAATTACGCGTATACGCAATGAGTACATTCTTATTACATCAACTATAAAAATACTAATGTAAATTACGATAGTTTTAGGTAGGAGAGAGATTAAGAAATACAAAGATTTAGCTTTATTGCGCTTTGGGGGGGGGGGATTAAAGGTAGGTTATATGAGATGCGTTATATGTCGAGAGTTCCTGCGTGTAGACGTAACATATATTGAAATGCCTCGACCCTCTTATTGAACTTTCATGAAAATTCGTCCTGAATTCTGCCGATGGCGGAAAGCACACGTACGCATATAATTCGTGTGGAAATTTTAGTTTTACGAGCACGGGTCTGAAACCATAAAATTTCAACATTTCTCTTTATTACTATTTGCCATACATAAAGATTGGTAGCGGTTTATGATTTCAACTGTATATTTGCCCAAAAAATATATATAAAAATCAATTTTTATGGAAGGCCATTTAAAAGATCAAATAAAATGTAAAGTTATTATTCTATATATATATATATATATATTCTAGATATTCATATTATATACTTCCTAGTTTTCTAATTTATTTTCAATAATATAGCTCTGCTTTATAATAGGAAAAATTTAAGAATGTATTATAATGAACAATAGTAGAATATATTTCCGAAATAGTGACTTTTTAATAAGTTTATTTTAATAATAATTATTAATATATATAAATGAAGCATATAATGTTCTATTTAATATATTAAATAATTTATGATGTTAAAACAGTTATGTATAAAACATTATTTACACTCATGAAAGACTATTTTTATTTTCTATTATAGATTATTATAGATTATAGATTATTACATGTTAATATTACATAAATATATTTTTGACGAATTTACTAGTAAATAAAATGAATTAAAGGAAGATATCTAAAATGTAGGATAATTAATTAATCAAAGAAAATCATGTAATGATTCTCTTTATTCAATTACTAATTTAATTTAATAATTTCTGAAGCGTATATTAATAATAAAACAATCTTCTAATTGAAATTTAATTAAAAAATTATCTTTATAAGTGGTCACAATCTAACGTTTAATATTGGCACGATGTTGGCGAATTTAAAGAGTTTTTAGAGTGATTTTTTTATTTCAACTTAAAACTAATGGCTCCCTTTTCTTGCCCTATTAAGTTCATCCTTCAATTTCGATACGAGTAAACAATGGGATATCTACCTTCTTCTCGCAATGAATATCATTTATTTGTAATGAGTTAATTTATCGTGGTCTCCTCTATTTTTTTCTCTCTCTGTTTTATGGCAGGTAACCGGGGACCTCTGAATGTGACAATCGTACAGGTTGGCAGAGGAAATGGAGGCGGTGACGAGGGCGGAAGTGATTTACTGAGGTTAGAACCACCATCGGATTTCAGACCGGCTCCTTCGCTCTTATCTAACGCCAGTGTTACCTTGCAGTCTGACAACAACGATACTTTGGTTGGAGGTAAGGAAAAAAAATATATTACATTACATTATACGTCTTTCAAAAATTGTTCACATTTTCGAAATTTATCAATCTCTGTAGTTTCGATATAAAGGAAATAAAGTTTAATAGTCATTATCATTAACTACTTATGATTTCGAATCTTTTTCTTAAGTTTAAGTTTGATCACAGAAAGTTTCTCAATTTTTCAATGCATATTTATATCATTTTCCAAATTTTATATTAATGAATTAAAATATAATTATTAGACAACATGATAATATAATCAAATATATAAAATGTGCCATTATTTTTTTTTAATGTAAGATATATATGTAAGATTTATCAACATACATTATGGAAATGCATAAAATCCAATGAATGTCTTATTCTAACTATATTAATTTGCAAATCTTAATTTTCTTTTTAAATATTTTTGCATATTTATGCATGTTGCAACGAATCAATAGCGCGGACATTATATGTCGACTACTAATATATGCAGGAATCGGAAATTGGCTACAATGTAGAACCGCATATGAACATGTAGTATCTGCCCACAAAATTTCAAATCGATAAAATTTGATATAGTTTGTAAATTAATTCTGTTAATTTAAGCATCATTAATATGTAGCATTAATATGTAGCAGTCAATTGAATATTGTACAAAAAGAAAGTTTATTAATTAATGAACAATTAATTTTAGATTTTATATAGCTTTTCTATATATTGTAATACACACAAAATTATCTTTTCAAAAAAGGTAAAAAAATGACGTTAAATTCATGCACCTTTTATCATTTTTAATTATTTTCTATGTAAAAAGTTTATTTTATAGAAAAATTTTCACATTGAATGATGAATTTATCTTTTCTATAAAAGATTCGATATTAATTTTAAAATCTTAAGAATGATTTTATCAAAAAACTAAAATTAATTTGTAATTATCACAATAAAATCTAACATATTAGTATTAAAACTAAATTGTACAAATTGTACTAAATTGACATTCAAAATTAACGCTAATTTGTAATTGTCGGTAAAATCGATAAAAAAAGTAAATCTAAAAAGAAATAAAAAGATTTTATCAATTAATTAAAAGTTAACATTAATTTGTAATCAATTAATGTAATCATTAATTGTATCAATTAAATCCAGAAAATTGCATTCTTGTTTCAAATGATTCTATGTAATTCTTTTAAAGAAATATCTATTTTTTATCTTGTTCTGTATATCTTATTCAAATTAATTAAAATAATATTATGGAAAAATGGATATGAGTTACTTTATGTTTTTTTATTTGCATAAAAAAGTAAATTTCTTCAAATAAAATATTTTGTCTTTTTTATTTATCTTTTTTTAACCGTGTAACGTATAGTAGTATAGTGGTATCAATAATTACAATTTTTCGGGATTTTATTCCTACCGCATATATTCTTTAAATATTGACTATCGAGTCATGATCATTTTCAGTCTGCGCGCAAATAAATCATGTGATGTCATATCCTGCAACCGGAAACATTTTAGCAGGGAGCTTTCGGTTACAGACAGTTTACTAAGGATCGATAAAAGAAAAATTAAGGCTAAAGTGCATTAAGAATAGACGCACAAAAATCAAAAGAAACGATACATTAACATTTTGTATCACAAAAGTATATTCAAAGTATAAACATTTAGTCGTGTACAATTACGCCAATTTATTATTGTGGCAAATTTCTATCTTTTTTACGAAAATATATAAAAATAAACTTTTATAATAATTAATAGAAAAAGGTATGATTTAGATTAGGTTTCAGAGTATATACAATTAAATTTGGAATTTAAGTTAAATTGTATATGTGAATAGTGAATGTATTGATTTTGTATGCGTGCGCGCGCGTGTATGTGTGTGTGTGAGTTGTGTGCGCGTGTGTAATTGAGTTTTGAATATGATAAAGAAAGTAAAATTGATAATTTTTAGGTGTCGATCCAAGGCTATTGCTAGGAACTGGTGGTGATCGTAATACCTGGGAAGGCCGTTACCACGAGAAAGAACATCGACGTGCTGGGAAAGCCACTTTCCAAGGTCAAGTTTATAACTTCCTGGAGCGTCCTACCGGTTGGAAGTGCTTCCTATATCACTTCTCTGTGTAAGTATTCACGATGTCTCGTATACGTATGTGATTTAGTATAGCTTTTTGATGGAGCACTGACAGCATGTTGCATTGATATCCTTTGACGTCATAACATTTGTGAAATTATACGAAAGTAAACTCAGCGAGAGAATGAAATTCACGTAGGTGCATTCTTCTCGGAAAGGTATGTTTTATTTTTTTGTTTTGCAATGACTATCGTATTTATTTAATGCCTTGTATCGTATAATGAATAAAATGAAGGAAGAGTTTAAAACATATCGTGAACCTGTTCATTCATCTATTCGTTCACATTATCAATCGTTCTCCACGCTCGATATGTCAAAGAAGGATTTAATATACTTGGCGGTACTGTAGGCATCAATCTTTATTGTCACTTAATAAATATTATTATATACATATAATATAACGCTTCAAGAAAGATGGATGATAATTCCAAAATTTCTCTTCCCTTCAAGGAGATCTGATATATAAATAAGGAGGTGTTGTATATACTGTAGATGACCTTTAAAAATAAATCGAATCTAAAATAGAGCGAATCTAAAATAGAGCGAATACTTAATTTAGTTATTATCATAACTAAAAAAATTTATTTCCACTTTTGCAATAATGCTTTTGTTGCATAACTTAAACTCACGAGGCGAAGAAGAAGTGAAAAAGTTATAACATCGTAATTTGAAATTGACTACAATAATAAATCTATACGTTTCCGCGTATTATATTCCCGGATCATGGTTTATAGTTGATGTTATAGCAAGAAAAGCGCGATTGTTTATTAGAAATTTATATGACGGACGAAATATTTCCGTCTTTATGCTTCCCCGGAGTATTCTCTAGGATATGTCGATAAGTAATAAAGTTTTATCGCCATGTGGACGCAATTGCCTATCGGAATTTATTGTAAAAAGTTGAAAAAGAAGTATTAATAGTACAGATTAGATTTGAATATAGATAAATAATATAATATATACGCAAGTATTTTTTAAATTGTATTGTAAGGCTGTTTCAGAATTCCCACGATGCAATAAAATATTGCAATAACAAAAAATATAACAAGTCACATCTTTTCTTATTGTTTTTGGACTTTTAGGATATCTACTAATTGCATAGAATTATATTTTTCTATGTTTAGAAATTCCTATAACTCGTGTAGCTTAGATTAGATACGCATAGATGGCAGACCCCATACTGATATTTTCTACTAGATTTGATCAATATTCATGTTTTATCATTCATTTAGGGTATATAGGAATCTGTATTGTATAAGCATGTAATTTTTATTCTAGATGTTTTATTGTTAAATATTTGATATCCCATATGTATGTATTATAGAGTTCAAAAATTCATGTGATAATAATATACTTATTAATAAAAATCATCAGAGATTTAGAAATTTTTTAATTACAAATATTATAGAGGAAAATATAGTTACAAATTATATATTACGAAATTATTAAAACAATATAATTATAAATTATATTTCTTTTTCTTTTTATTGGATTAACACATTGATCTTTTCTTAATCTTTCTTTATGTAATGTTTTTCTTTCTTTGGCTGTATTTTGATCGATGCTTTGATGCTTTTTTAAATAAAATTTTAAATTTTGTCATAATTAGCTGGAAGAAACTTTATATTTTTGCAACGTTGCTGAAATTATAATT